TACTGAGCTGCCACCAGAGCATCACAGCTCTGTTCTCACTGCCTCCAGCCCGCGGCGCTCCAGGTTTAGGTCTGCAGAATGCCGCATTTTAATCTGCCTTGTTCACATGAGCAGAGCCAGCTGCAGCAGAAGGGAGAGCTGGCGTTGGCCAACCCAAACACAGCTGTTGTGCCTCGTTTTGAAACCTATCAGCCTTTCTGCTGTCCCTTTTCAGAGATTAAGCTTTATCTGTTGTACGCGAGGCTTATGTCACCTTATTCGAGAGTGGTTTTGCTGACAGCCTTTGAGTTTTTTCCTCCTTACCTCATCCTTTGTGGTTCTGGCAGCAAAATGGCTTTAATAGAAACGTGGCCAGGCAGAAAGCAGAGCCGTGTAACAGCTGTGTGGTTCTGCCACGCGGCCAGGACAGGGCATGAGGCACTGAGAGCCGACAGCTGAGATTTTAGAGTCCTATCAAGGCCAGGTAAAAGTGAGCACTCCATATCACTGGGAACAGTAAACAGAAGCTGTGTTTTAAATTGTGTTTATATAACAATGATGGTGAGGCACTGGCACAGGCTGCCCAGAGAGATGGTGGTGCCCCATCCTTGCAGACAGCCAAGGTCAGGCTGGACGGGCTCTGAGCACCTGATGGGGCTGTGGGTGTCCCTGTTCATAGCAGGGGAGTTGGAACAGATGGATGTTAAGGGTTCTTTCCAACTCAAAGGTTTCTATGATTCTATGAGTTTAATTCCAGAGTATTTTAGCTTTATCTGAAATCCAGATGTGAGCAAAGTGTGGGAGAGGAGGCTGATGTCTGGGCTACATGGATCCAAAGCTTCTGCTGAATTGCAGCACAATGCAGCAGTGCTGAGTTGGAGCAGCCTCCCGGCCTGCCTCTGTCTGTGGCCATGCAACAGCTAAGGCAGGGCTATGAGCAGCTGCTGTGCTGCCAAAAACCTTGCGTTGGTTTATGCAGAAGGGCTTCTGCACCAAAGATAGCCTCTGGTGTGTGGGTTACGTTTTGGGTCCACTTTTAGAAGCGAGCTGTTCCAAAAGAAGCTGAAAGTCCATCTTTCAGGTCTGTGATTACGGTAAAAGCTCAGACTGGAGTTTTTTACTGCTTGCGTGTCACTTTGCTAATGACCACTGGTTTCTGCCTCAGTTGAATAGGTTTCCTAGATTAACCAGCAGAAAGAAATAACCCTCCACCCTTGGTTCTTTCTCATTTTATAATTATCTGCAGTTTCTCCAAAGCTGTTCTTTTATCCTCATGTTTTGCTCCTGCCTGGATGTGCCCAGTGCCTTGCAATTAAAACAAAACAGCTCCATACAGTTCACAATCTAAGATCACATCTTACAAACCCTTGCTCATTAGAGCAATCCCACTGGAGTGAATAAGGCTGTTTCCCATCAGCTCTACTTGTTTGTGAAGTTTAGGAGGTTCTGGCCTTAAGTTATATGTTTTAAAATGTCAGCAAAATGTTCTCTGACTCATGGGTAATGGTATAATTGCTATTGTGGTGAATCTCCCAAAAAAATAGATACAAATGTGTTTATGTAACAATCAGAAAGCTCGCATTCCTGGAGGGAAGGAACAGTTGTTCTTTCGGCATCACTTGTGTTTTGGCCTGGAGTTGTCCTACATGTTGTGCCAAAAAGCAATAATGCGAGGGACATGGTCAACACAAAACTCAGTTTATTGGAATTCTTTATCTGTGCTACTTGGCAATGCAATGGGGTATTCAAAGAAGCAAAGAGTTTTTAAAATAAGGCTTTTTTTGCACCACCACTTTTTGGTTTTTTGGTTTTTTTTTTCTGTAGTGTTCAGTTCTAAGTATAAAATTCAGCTTTTCTGGTTTCACTTCTGGTTTGTGTTCGATTACTCACTGCTTCTGTGCTATGTGTGCTCTGAATTTAAAAGACATCTGCTTCACTTCAGCTGTATCCCCCATTGTCAGTCTCTGCTTCCTCCTGTTATGTGCTTGCTAAAATATTGCTGGCACGAATATGCAAGGAAAGTAAATGCAAAGCAAGCACCACAGATAATTGCTGATCCTTTTAAAGTGCCCAAACCTCTCGTGAGATCCGTGATGCAGAGGCTGTTAAGAGAGACAGACTGAGATTTGACTTGCAAGCAACAAGAGCAAGCATCTGCAATTACTTTATGAAAACAATCTCTGGTGAGAGTTACAAATCAATATGTGTGATGTGCTTGGTGTATTTTATTGTAATTAAACCCCACCTCACGTAGTTCCTTGGTTGCCTTGTTAGATCCTTGGCATGGGGGCAAGAGGGCAAAGGAGCAAGCCACCTCCTCTGCAGTTGGCATCAGGCAGACAGATACTGCAATGACCCCGCAGGCTTTGCTGATTTATTTGTTTGTGTTTCCCCTGGACGGATGGTGCTGCATGTAACCCACTGGAATCACAACTTGCTCAATAGCCAAATAAATACAAAAATACAATGCTGATGCTCTCTGAGCTGACAGGCAGTTTGTATCAGATAGATGTGCCCTGCCCATGTGGGCACTCTTTTGCACTGGATGGGGAAGAGGCCGGACTGCAACTCACATGTGTGCAGGGCTCTGACCCATCTGGCCAGCCAAAATCTTGGCTGGAGGAGCTGACATCCATCTGCACCCGCAGACCGCCAATGCTCAGGGTGCAGCTGGAGGTTGAAGCTAAAACAGTCCTTCTTCTAGGAACACCGCCTTGGGCAAGGCCTGTCTGATCTGGAAGATTTCATGTTCTCAGGAGAAAAAAACCTTTTCTACTTCAAAGTCATGGCTTTCCCCTACTTATACGGGTTATAACAAAAATATCTTGTCATTTGACACGGTCAGTCCCAGCTCTAGGCTGTGCTGTAGCTCATTGTTAGAGAACTCCTCATCATGAGCCCAGAGAAGGGGGAAAATAGCCAAAAAACAAAATACCAGTGGAATGTATAGGGTCAGCTTGAATAGCAGATACACTTGAGACAGGCTGTGCAAACATTCAGCCAGGCCATAAGCCAACTGCAGGTGCCCTGCATGAGCGAAACCCATTCATGCAACGTAGCCAGCCATCATCAGGGTTCTGATCAGCAGAAAAATGACCTCCAGGGGAATGTCCCCTGCTGCTGAATTACTGCAGCCAGGTATCTCCTGGTGGGCTGGGACTGGCTGGCTGGCATGGGGCAGACAGTGGGGTTTGGTACAGCCATGGTGCTCATGGGCAGGCGGCTGCATGGCTGCCCCACACTGCTGGGGTTCCACTCCCCTCCTGAGAGCTGAGTGCTTTGCTGTTGCAATGCTATGTCTGTTTGGATGGGGTTTTATAATCCCTTTCAGGTTTCGTCTGTAAGTCTTCTGGGTAACGAATTTGATGCTTTCTTTCTTCTTGGGCTCGGTAATTGCTTGGCTGCTTTCCAGTTGATGCTCCCTATGCACAAAGAGGGAAGTGTGTTCTTCTTTATGAAGGCTTTCATATATGTGCCTTCTGTTAAACACAATGGAGAGATGATTTGTCTGCAGTGCTTTCTGGGGGGGTGGAGTGAGGATGCCCACAGGGATCAAGGGTATGATTGGACAAACTTGCAGACACACGCAGGGCTGCTTTGGGGTGTATGTACTGCCTTCATGGCTATGGGCATGCTTGGCAGCTCAGTGTGCCATTGGGGAAGCTGCCAGGGCTCAGTCCCTGCAAAAAGCATCCCTCGGCAGGATGCAAGAGCACTCTCTGCTCCTGGCTGCACTTTAAAGAGCAGCACAACCTCTCTGCAAATAGAGGTTGTCTTTGTACTAGAAATGGCATTATTCCTTGTGTCAGTCAGCAGCACGCTGAACAGGTCTGGATGTGAATACCCTGGTCAGGCTGAACGGGCTCTGAGCACCTGATGGAGCTGCAGGCATCCCTGTTCACTGCAGGGGAGTTGGACCAGATGGTCTTCAAAGCTTCCTTCCAACTCAAACGATTCTGTTATTCTATGAGTCTGTGACTTATAGCTTAAGATGGACCTGCATTGGCCTCCTGCTGCAGTAGGCGTCCTTGGGAAGGTATGGATTGAAGGTTAGAGCATTTCCAGCATGGGGAGAAAGCTCAGTGCATGTCTGCAAAACCCTCCTGCTCTCAAGAAGTGCTCCCCAGGAAGGATGCTATGATTTCTGGAAATTCTGCCACATTTTGCAACATTTTAATTTCTACTGCAAAACACCTGTGGGCTACCATGGAGAACAAAACCACTGGGGGCTGTGGTTTGGTCCAAATTTTGGGCACCAGAGCAAACCTGCTAAAACAATGAAAAGCCAAACTATGTTCGTATACTCACTATATATATGCATATATATATATGCTTATATACTACATATATGCTGCACTAACAGTTGAAGCAAAGTGACAGGTTTCCCCTTTACTCTGGAAGCGAACCTGAAGTGAACTTACACTGAGGTGTTCAAGTTCTTGTACTTAAACTGAACAGAAAGAAATAGATCAGTTGTTAAAGGTGTCTTAGAGGAGATAAGTCAGCAGGAGCCTAGCTGATTTAACATTGATGCCTAAGAGGCTGTAAGTTAATCATGAGAGATCATTAACTTCCATCTCCTTTCATCCCATGGAAAAAGATTTTCCTCCCATTCTTCTGTTTTCTGACCCTTCTGAATACAATTGGAAATAACTCAGCTTTTCAATTCAGGGAAACCTTTTAATTTTGTCTGTGTATGAAACGTTTCATACCACTGTGTGGCACTTCATAGTAAATTAAATTAACTCTTCTGTGTACTCCTGAACTGTGAGAGACCCTCAATAAATAAAATAAATCTGTGCATGAGGAGAGTGTAGAAGCAGGCTGAATGTTTTCCATTGCCCTCAGAGACATGCAGATCAGTGTTTCCATCACACGTCTGTGCCTGCATACATTCAGCCTGAGTCTGGATGCCACGGAATCCTACAGGGAATGGTGGGATGGGTTGATGGTTGGGCTGGATGATTTTGGCGGTCTGTGATGATTCTGCAATTCTAACTTTTTTTCTCCTTTTCTTTCAGGTCAAAACCTGACAACCTGCTGGAGATTGACCACCGCCTGCCTGGCTGTTCCAGTTCACACACTGTGCTGTGGGAGGACTGCTCACTCTCTGGGATTCTATAGCAGGTCAGTCTAACAGCCAGATGAACCCTCCAGGTCCATGATACTCACATTAGATGGGTGTTCAGTACAAAGCAGGACCAGGCTGTTTCCAATTCTGATGGTAGCTTGCAAGCATAAGGGTTTCCCCATGGGTTTCCTTTTGGAGGGATCTTCTGTCACTGCACTGGGTGCTCTTTGGAGTGGGCTTCTAAAGCCATTTGTCTTCCTCCTGTTGTGGGGTCATGGCTTCTGTATTAGGCAGACAACAGTGTGGATTAGGGGTCTATGTTACAGTAGCCAAATGTGCAGTGGTAGCAAATGTGTAATTGATTGAAGAGTGAAGTGGAAAGGAACCTGCAGCTACTGGTAGGGCACAGAGCTCCATGTTCCCACCTCATCAGGACTTGGAACTGTTTATGGAGCTTTTACAAAGCCTACAAGATTCACTGTGCGCTTAACTGTGTCCTTTTTGCCATTAAGAACCATGAAAGCATTGTGTTCTTATAGCATTAAGTTGTCTGGCAACATGGCCCTTCTGACCAAGCCTTTACATAGTCCTATCACTAAAACTCTTTCGGAGTTTGCCAGGAAGCACCCAGTACCCCCTTTCCAAAGCAGGAGGGTGTGGGAAGCTGCTAACACCCTTGGGACACTGAGCCTTCCCCTCTGACTTTGGGAAGTTCTGCTGAATGTGTGAGCAGAGCTCTGAGCTCATGGCTGCATCCCTTTGGGTTTTACAGAGGGCACGATGCAATGCCATCAACTGGGAACCACTGCTCTCCATCATCTCCTTCTCTTGCCTCAGTCCCCTGCATAGCTCTGTCTAGATTTTAGATAAACTACACCCACAGCTTCATCCTTAAGGTTTTAATGCAGAGACACACCACAGCATTTGTCTACTGAATCAGTGGCATTCCTCAATGTTTCCACTCCTGGCTTCTGTGTTAAAACGGGTAATAAAACTGCTGCTCATTTCATCTTTATTAGGCTTTTTGAAAAGTGTTAGAAAATGAGATGCTGTCTGTTTGAGAGAGTCTCAAAATTCATGGCCTCAGTTAATTCCGTGGATAAGAAACAACCTGGAGGGCATTTTGTCTTATTCTGAGAGAATTTAAATTCAGGAACCAGTGTTTTCACTGTGAGAGAGGATGAAATTATCACCTCTTGTCTGCGAGAAAAAAGCTGCTTTCCATGACTTCCTTACAGTGCTTTAGGTGATGGTGATTTCCAGCCTTCATTTCTACATTTGTCCTCGCAATACCAGATTTTGTGTGCATGTTTTTGTGAGGCAGGTACACCACCTATTGTTAAATTAGATCAGCATTTCCAGCATCAGTAATTCATTTCAACTTGCTTACAGTTTTCCCAAATTGCAACCATCTTGGTTGCTCTAAGGTTCATTTTTGTCTAGGAGTTATCTTTCTGGCATTGCTCTACCCAGGTGAATGTAGAGTTCCTGAGGGAATGCAGATGCTGATTTGGTACAAATCCCATGCCAGCAGAAATGACATCTTCTGCCCCCGGAGAAGGCTTAGACCGAGGGAAATGCTTGTGCTAAATGGGGTTCTTAGGTAAAAGACTGCTGATTGATTTTGCAGCCAATATTCTTGAGGGTATGTGGTTGGAAGGGCTTTTTGATAAGAAGAAAAACAGATTTCTGACTCTAGGTAAGGAAAGGTTTTCCCCCTTTATTTTGCACTTAATGTAATTTAAAATTGGAAAGAAAGGTGAGATACTGGAGAGTATATGTATTCACATCTGTCACTGAAGCTAATAGGAGCTTCCTCTGAGTGCAGCCCAGAAAGCCAGGTGCATTTGCTTTCACCAAAGTACTGTTTTCAAAGCATTTGGTTCCACAGCAGGATTTCCCTCTCTGGTTTCCATGAAATTAATTGTTTCAAAAGCTGGAGTGGGCGGAAAGTCTTTTTGGCTGAGTCTGTATAGAAATACCACCATTTTTCTTTGTAGGAAAAACTGATGCTTTTAGCACAGTGTTTCTGTATGGTCTAATATTTCACTCGACTATTACACATTCTTTCTTTATTCAGCCATTATTTAACACATTAATGAGGCACGTGAAGTGGTTCAATGCAGCTATTCATTGACTCCTGTTCCTTGATAATCTCAGATGTCAACACGAAGCCGCAGACCTGGCTTCTTTGAGTTCAGGACAGATTCTGGGGATACTGTAACCAAAACAACGAGATTTTGCATTGTGTCCTTCATTGTCATTTCTAGTTTTGGTCACAAAGGGTAGGATTCAGGATTAGGCTTCTCACTAATGTGCACTTGTCCCGATGGATTGCAGAATACATTTTAGATACTTCAGCTGAAAATGGTTTTCTTTTCTTGGCTACTGCATGCTCCAATTAAGCTTTCATTGGAAAATATGAAACAGAAAACTATCTCCTTTAGCTATAGCTGTAGCAACCACACAACTATAAATTTTTGGGTAGTCAATCAGTGGCTCACGAGACCCATGGAGCCATGCCTACTTTGTCAAGCTTTGGAAATCTTGAGAGGAGGTCCTGGAAAGTCAGGTCTTGCCTTGACTGTATGGTTGGCTGGTTTAGCACCATGAACCTCCCTTGGGCTCCACAGGAGTAGTTTGGCTGGCCACAGACCAACTATCAGTGGAAATAAAGCTGAGAGGGCTATAAAACCATATATATTGCACTGCAGTGTGGATGAGGATTAACTGGCAGAATAACTCCACTTTATTACTTTTTTTCCCCCGCTCCTAATCTTTTCTTTGTGTGGAGCAAGAGTTTATATTCTTGGCCAACCATACTTCTAGATAATACATAATCGTTGTTCCCTCTCAGTGATGATTTTACTGCTCACTTACAGCTGCTTTAAAGGGCAGCAAGAAGCTTTTCCACATCAGCAGTGGGCATCTGTAGAAAGCAACACGAGGCTGGTGCTTCCAGCTCAGAGGCTGTAGGATGGGGGTGGATTTACTCTCCTGTCTCACATGTGGAAAAAGCCTCTATGAGAGCAGAGGACTGCTAAACTGAGCTGCTGGGGGAGAGGACATAATTGAGAGGTTAAGTGAAACACTTTGAGTTCCTCTGCTCCATTAGCTCCAGGGTGCTTACCTTATACTGCATCCAGCTGGTGAGAAGAAAAGCATGTCTCCATTGAAAGAGATAATCTTGTTTTGTTTAAATCCATTTCTGAAGCTTGCAAACCAATTTCTCTTTCAGACTGCCCAGTTCACTGAGCCAAACCTCTTCACAGTAGCGTATTCAGTTTCTGCTGTAACCTGCTACTGCTGCTTTCAGCCGCAGCTTTAACCACAGAAATCACAGCAAAAAAGTAAATAAGTAAATAAAAATCCCCACAGTTTGCTTTTTTTTTTTTCTTCAGTGACACTAGCTGCACTGTTAGCTGGGAGGAAGGTCTGGGGAAGGCATTTGACTGTGCTTGCTTCCTTAGCTAAGAGAGGCACTTGAATCTTTGTGGTTTTGCTGAAATCACAGTACTGCTGAGAACATCTGTAGAAAAGAATTAGCTTTTTCTCTCCCTCCCCCTCAGTGACAGCAAATCTTTGAGAAGGTCAGGTTTAGGGATGCTTCTGTGGATTATTTTAGCTATGCTGAAAAGAATAGAGCCCATTGCAACCAGCTGGAAATGCAGCAGTATTTAACAAGCACAGCCATTCAGTGCTATAAGATGTAGGTTTGATGGCAGCCAGACCATTCTTTGGCATTTTCAGCCATCCGTGGGCTGTTTTCTCTGAATTAACTGTGGCAGTAATAAGAGCTGTGGCCCAAAGCCATTGCCCCATCCTCTCCTATCTACAATGGACTATGCAAACATTGGACCAAAGTCCTTGTTAGAGAAATCTCTTTGTAAAGGAGAGGAACTGTGCGATGGCTCAGAGACGTGGAATGTGCTTTTTCCACTCCATAATTGCAAGTAACCTCATTTGGTAACACTCCAGGACTAAACTTCTTGCACAAGGCACCTCTGGATAGAGTTTCTGGAGGAGGCAGACACCGTGCCTCCTAGACGTGCCTCCTAGACACTCTGGGTAGTTGGCTGCCTTCATTTTAGCAGTGTTAGGGTTTACTAATGCAGACGTAATTCAATTAGGGCACCCAGAGGATTGGAGAAAAGCCTTTATTATTTTTAGTCTAAATAAAAATAGTATCTCAGGCTTCTAGAGTAGTGAAAACACATAGAGCCATGGAAGATGGCTGGACAGAGAACATACATATGATTTTTCAACCAGGATTTCCATCAAATTGAACCTGTTTAATTTGGCTTTGGCCAGCCCTGTCATGCCCAGGTGTGGGCAATTAGTTCTCTGTGCTTAACCTTGCAGGAATGGCTGTGAGTTTGACTTTGTGGCAGTACATGCAGGGTGCGGCCTCTCAAACACTACTTAGATGATGAGTATTTTAATCATACCCCCCCCGGGAAGCAGGAAACTCCATTTTTAGTCATGAAGGGATGTTTCAGTGGTACTTAGGGGATTTAAGGACCTAAAGACCCACCTAAGTGTGTACCTAAATCACACAGGATCACTGGAAGCATTGCTCCATCCCGTTGCATCCTTTCATTCTCCTTTTCTTCCAGGGTCATTATGCTGTGTTGTAGGGCAGTGTCAGTGTTTCTGATGGTCTGATCATGATGTCAGGGCTATAAGTGGTGATAAGGGCTTTCACAAGGCACAGGTTCAGCAGCCCCTGGAAGGAGGCAGGCAGCACACTGTTGCATAAAACCAATACTAAAACATGAAGCATTGTGAGACTGGGAGGATGGCTCAGTCTACAGTTCTCAGGCATAAAATAAGCCCCCTTGCCATCCCAGAGGGCAGCAAGTACTGTCAGCAGGTCAGTGAAAAGCCTTGCCCAAGCTTCCTTGGTGTGAGAAGGACAAGGGCATGCAGGACTTTCATCCCCGCCTGTCACACAAGGTTTTAAGGAGCAAGATAACTTTCTCAGCATGCTCATTCTGTGATTGAGGAGACTTTTACAGCACTGCTGTGACAGAGTGTTTTTATAGCATTGCACTGA